TTATATATGTGTGTAAGTGTGTTATAATATTCAATAATAGAGAAGGGCGGGTCGATTGTGTAGTATGACGCACACGCCATATTATGTCTTAGGGACTCATTTTAGAGTCCCACCAGAAACTGAACAGCGGCCAGTATTATAGCCAGAATACCGTTATAGACAATGACAACTGGGGCTGGAATGGCCATTTCCGATTAATAAACCGTCCAACCCTAGGTGGTGCATCACCCGAGGTATGAAGCCGTGAACTGGTAGCCAGAAGTCAACCGCTCTACCCATGGAGCTTCGGATGGTTCAACACCTCGAGTTAGATGTAATTGGCTGGTGACGTCTTATGAGCTGGAAATGGCCATTCCAGCCTTCATTGTCTTTGCTGAAAATGTTCATTTGGCTATTTAAACATCCTCTGAAACCATCATATTTTCATGATCTACGAATGTGTATAGGTCCAATGATTACTTACGGAAAATATACTTTTGAGGGATTGACTTTTTTGTTTTTAACAAGGGAGTATTCACAGAAATTAAAAAGTCCAAACACAAAAGTTTGATTCAGCAGTTACTGGATTAGAAATTGGCCTTTTTTGCTCATGCCTGACTTAAGCTGATGCAAAATCTTACTGGTCTGATCCAGACAGGTGATGGGGTCATTCCACCAGTTGCCGCAGGTTGACCAAGGCAGGCGCGAGTTGAAGCTTGCGAAGAGGTAGAGAAGGGTGTGTGCCACAATAACATTGTAGTAGATCTGAACGAGCCATGAGATGGTTGTCATTGCGTAGCCGACACCTTGAGAATGCAAACAAGTAAATAGCGAGAGGCAAATGGGTCGGACGCTCAAGTTAGGACCTTTCACTCTCCAGGTGGCCTCGCGCTAAACCTTTCCACTCTCATGTCCCGTTTCTAAATGGAACGGTAGTTAGTCATTAAATGAAACACAGGGCCGCCTGCAATAAGAGGGCATCACTATTACCGTAACCCACCGGCAATCGTGTAGGGACCAATAGAAATCCTTAACAAGAGGCCGAATACTACTCATTGGCCTGGACCGCAGGATGCTGCTTTCATTACGGCACTTTGGATCGAATAAGATTCCATGTGCTCACGTGACTCAGCGGAATGGGGCCAACATTCAAAAAGCCTAGCGAGGAAGGCTATCTTCCTGAATACCGTCACCACCACTCATGCCAAAATAAAATACATCGACTCCGAAATGCAAATGTTGTTCAACCATCACAGACATGCGAGATGAGTTTGAAGCGCAATCCGTTGTAAGACACAGGATTGTTTCAGAACATCAGTAGCGCTGCTCAACCAATTATATTTCAGAAGTTTCTGGGCGTCTATGTTAAGGGCTTTTCTAGTATCCTGGAAACCCTTCAAAAAATTGGATGCGTAGGTTCGTAAAAGTTCACGTACGTGCAATGTATCCATGAGATTTCAATTTCAAGTACAAATGGTGGTT